AACACCAAGCCAGAGGGGTCCTTCTACTCAACCCCCAACCCTCCTTACACTTCGTCCATTTTAGGACCCACAAAACTAAATGTCTCCAGGACCTTCGCTCTTCCCCCAATCCCCGAAGGATGATCTTTCCCCCGGTGATTATTCTCTCACTCTTGCAGTCTCACTTCACGTCCTTTGCACAAGAGCTACTATTATACTATCTGTTCTACGACTTGCTACAGGATTGGCAGCAGCTGTCCCAGAGCAGTGTAACATTACAGGAAGGTTTCTCCTGGCACTCCTTTACCTCCTATCAGTAGGATGCTTCTTAGCAATGTCATTGTGACAATATGCCCTTTAAATTCTTTTGGCTCCCTAACCCTTTGCATCCTTCTTGTGTTTTTCCTCCTATCTCAATGCCACCCCCTTACCTGGAACATGGAGGTCCCAGGTCCGCAGGGATGACGCAGTCCTCAGCAAATCAGCCTGGTCCCCGAGTGACTCATCTGTCTCCCACTTCGCGAGTAACTTTTTGTGGTCACCCCCCTCCCTGTCGATGCAGACATTTCCACAAACGTCTCTTCACTTTCCTTTAATCTCACCTCAGTGGGGACTGTCAGCATTGTGCGGGGCCTGCCCACACTCTGCCTGACTAACACCAAATGCTACCACTCACTTACCCCCTCCTCATCCACGCCCTAAAACTGGAAATATTTCCTTTATAAAACTACATTATCCTTTTGCCTGCCCCCCAACATGATTTCTTGCATATTCTTTGGCTCATCCCTGACATCACCCTCCAGAGGGATGGAGAAATGGTGATGGGACTGGGACTAACTTCGCCCTCCCCCCCCAGGAAGTGCCCCTGCTCCCGTAGGGCACTAATTGTACCTTTTAATTGGGACAGGGATCCTTCCTACAACTGGAACTGGCATAGTGGGCCCTGCCACTGCCTCTCAATTCTATCAAAAACTGTCAGAAGAACTAAGCATAAATAGCATCTCCTCCCTCCTCAGTCACAACAGTAGACAGTCGCTTTACAGAACCGTCGGGCCCTTTACTTCCTTACAGCCTGAGAAGGAAGGCACCTGTCTCTTTTTAGGGGGGGAATGCTGTTATTATGTAAATGAGTCTGGGGTGATCCAAGACAACTTAAACCATTTAACTGAACCCTTGGATACCCTGGCTTATGTCCCTACTAGGACCCCTAACTTTGTTGGGACTCATCCTGCTTTTTGGTCCCTGTCGTTTTGGTGTTTCTCTAATTTCTTTCAGGAACGTATGCAGGCTTTCACCAACCAAAAGGTTGCCGAGTTGTTCCTGCAAGGAGGATATCAGCCCCTCAGAATCAGCAACCCTTCCCTGGAGGAATACAGCCTCCCCACATGAAACCAATACCCCACCACCTAAGTCTTTTATTTTTTTCATATCTTCGCCCTTCTGCAGCAGGAAGTAGCTTCAGAAGAATGAGACCTCCGCCCTTTTTCCCTATACTTAAAAGGCAGGAATAACAGATCTGCAACATAACCAGTGCCACTTTAGACAAGCCCAAGTACAAAATGGCACCGCCCACCTCCTCCCCTCCCCGCTTCCCTTTAGGAGAAGACTCCTGACTTAAACAGAAACCCCTTTTGCTTCTGCAAGGAGGCAGTTCTCCACCCCGATCCACATTAGTATAACGATCCTCGATGGTACCAGTCAGCCCTTGGCACATTATATAAGCTCTACCACCCCCACACCTGGTGCTGTCCCCTTTTCAGGGCAGTCCTGGGCTGCCTGCCACTCTGAGCACAGCCCAACCGATTTTCTTCCGTTAATAAAGCTTGAACGGTACCCAGCATCTCAGCTCACTTTCTTTCAGCATTCTGTATATATTTTGAAGATACAGCTATCACGTTTTGTGGAATTAGATGGGGATGTAAAATAAAGAGTGAAGATAAGGCTGCCTCTGAGATTTCTGGAAGGATACAGTTGACACCTACTGAGATGGGAAAGATACAGAGGGTATTGATGTGTATGTTGCAGGGGAGGTTGGAAGTGGAATAAACATAAGTTTTGAACCTGCAAGGAATGAGATAGCTATTGCACATTTGAGATGCCATGTAAACAGTAGGATATACAAGTTTGGCCCTTTGGGAGTGAGGTCAGGTCTGGAGATATGAATTTGGGAGTCATCCACGCACAGATAGTATTTAAAGTTACAGGAGATGAGATCACCTGGGGAATAAATGTAGTTAGAGGAGAGGTCCAAAGGACTGAATACTAGGCCATTCAAGTTTACAGATTACAGAGATGAGAAAGCAGCAGCAAAGAAGATAGAAAAGAAATGGCCAGTGAAAAGTGGGAGAACCAGAAGAGTGTGGTGCCCTGTGAAGTAAGAGAAAGTGTTTCTAAGAGAATGGAGTTAATAACTGGGTCAAATGCTGTTGATAGGTCTAGTAAAATAAATACAATATGAGTTTACCATTGGATTTAAGAACATAGAGGCTATTGGCTGACCTTCATATGAGCAGTTTTGGGGGGTAATACAGGAAAGAGCCTGATTTGGAACAGGCTTAAAGAGAAATAGGAGGGGAATTAGAGAAGAGTATAGAAAACTCTTGCCAGGTGTTTTGCCATAAAGGGGAGCAGAGAAATGGACAGTAGCTGGTGGAGGATATGGGAATCAAGAGTTTGTTAAACTTGGGAAAAATTACACCATGTTTGAATGCTGATGAGGATGATTTCAATAAAGATTGAAAAGTTCATGAAGGAAGAGCAATATATCCCCCAAGATTCAGACTCATGTCTGCTGCTGTCCTGGCATGGATGTCCCTGACATACCTGAAATGCAACATATTCAAAACGGAAATCATCTCCCTTCTAAATCTGATCCTTTTCCTATAGTTTCTATCTCATTTGGCAAAAATTCCATCCATTTAATTACCCCTGTTAGAAAACTGGCATATAGTAGTGACAGCATGGTGAATAACATTCACAATTTCATTATGCGTGAAGTGAAGCAATGGATGACACTGAGAGCTGTGAGCACCAAGGAAAGGGCTATGACCAGACTTGAAGATAAAATAAGAGAAAGGTGAAGAGATATCGGTCAGATCAACATCAAGTTGAAGCAATTCTACATCCTACATATCTTTCAAATTTGTCTCCGCATTCCACACCTATTACACTGCTCCAGTTCGGGCCTTCATCATCTCTGGCCTGTGTTATTTCAATAGCCTTATGAGTTTTCCTCTGACCTTGACTCGGACTGAAGAAGCAAACAAAATGCAAATCTCCATTTTATCACTCACCAGCTTAAAACCTTTCAAGGAGTCCCTTGAACAAAGGCAATGTCTCGGCCTGCCTCTTAAGTTTTATGCCTCACCTCTCTCAGTCTCAGCATTTGTAACCCTCCCACACCAAGTTTCTTATCTATGTTGTGGTTCCCTTTGGAATGGTGCCTTTCTTCTCTTCTGGGTAAGTTCTACTCATCTTCTACGGGAGGGCTTAGGGGTTACTTATGTAGGGAAACCTTTTCTCAAGTACGAACCTCCCCAAGACTGGGAAGGGGACCTTTGTGTTTCTGCCATTCATCCCTCACCAACCCCCAACAGCAGGGACCACATCAATAAATGTTAGTCTAATAGATCCAGTTCAAGGTTACCCAGCTGATAAGCAACTGAGTGAGAATTTAGCGTTCTGACGCCCGCAGGCGTTACATTCAAATGTAAAGTATTCAAATATCCTTACTCCAGCAGTGTCCTTTGCAGTGTGCAAAACATTCTGAAGAAGCTACTATGTCCTGGGGCAGAAAGGAAATGTTTATAAACCCGGAAGCTAGAAAGGCGCTTAATCATCACATAGAGGTAACAGGCACTTGGAGTAAGCCAAATGCAAGCAAGAGCCTGCTCTCTAGAGCAACCCTGCCCGGCACCGGCAGGCGACTCCCCACATTCTGCTTCGCACCGCGTTCGCCCGCCTCGAAAACTACAAATCCCAGCATGCCTCGCACTCAGTGAGTGGCAGCAGGCACGGCATGCCGGGACACGTAGTCCCGTTCTAGCTCAGGAAAAGCCCAGAACGCCCCGTGATGTTAGGAGGGCTCAGGAAAGTAGTCAGAACCGCTCTCGGCTCAAGTGAAATCTTCCTCCAGAGAGCCGACCCTGGTGTCCTTGGTGACCCGGTTTCTATTCCAAACAGGCCCCACCCCGCAGACAGGCGGACCTATGGTGTGCAATGAGTTGCCTCTCGCGTGCATCTTTCACGGTTAAAAGAGTACTGGGGGCAAGAATAGCCTTCCACCCTCGAGGCGCGGGCTTGTTAGAATAGTGGTACGTACACAGGCCGCTGCTTCCCCAGCAGCGACGGTGAGGACGTGGCAACACTGCCTTGGACCGCTACTTTCCTTTCCTCCGCCCGTCGGGTTAGATGCGCGGGAGGCGCAAAGGCTCCTGGGAACGCGCATGCGCCCACTGCGGCGGGGAGTACACCTCCAACGTCCGTGGTCGCCGGGGGTGTTGGGTGTCGGCAGCGGCGCTTTGCGGCCGGTCGTGCGGGGCTGGCGCGGGCGGGCGCGGTGGCCGTGGCGCGCACAGGTGATTGACTGGCCACCTGCCTGAGGGAGCGCCTGGTCTCTATCGCTGGCAGGTGGCTGAGCCCTTTCAGGCGGCGGTGGAGGCGGCGGCGGCGGC